CATCATGTTATTACTTTTTTAAAGAGTGATGCATAATGAGTAGTGGATATCACCGGAGGATCCACAATACGATATTATCATGATGCTTAAGTCACGATTAGTAATTTTAAATATGTTGTGATATGCTGAGTATTGCGATAAAACATACTGCAATATATAACCTTTTTCAATTGTAAATTATGTCTCCAAATGAAAACTTTGTCAATATTAGTTTTACTTAATAAGAAAAAGTTTGCAGTCATTTTTGCAGCGGCAGCAAGATGTATCTGGTTGGACTGAAAAAAACAATTGGTTATATTATTCTCGTAGGCTACTAATGTTTAATTTGTATTTGTCATATTAAAAATTTATATTATAAAAAAATATATATTTGGTCCTGTGTGACATTACAATATTACCACACAAAAATATTGCAACACCATGCTGTATCGATTTTTTCCCCCGCACCATTCAGGAGTGGCTTTCATTTTGGTCCATTTTAAATGGTGTTACCGATTAAAAACAAACAAAAAAACGAATTTAAGCACAGGAGATAAATGTAACCCATCAGTGTATCCAAACAAAATATCATACAGACAAAAATTATAATAAAGGCTAACATCATTTAAGCTCATTTCTTCCACTAAATAATTTTGAATATTAGGCTACATAAAGTTTTTAATCAGTTGACATATTGTCAGAATTTTATCACATTGCTCTGGCTTTGAACTTCCTATTATAGATCTACGGAGACAGCCTACCCGTTCTGCTGTGTCGGTTTGATTTCTCCGCCACCTCCCGGTGCTGCTCGCCCTCTGGAGAGATTTTTCTCCGGTTCCCACGACTGCCGGCGTCTCGGTCCCACCTGGCTGACATGTCCAATACAACTGTCCAGTGTCCCCGTTCCCCTGTGATCAGTCAACGCCTCACCATCCTCACGTGCTTCTGCCAACAAAAGTTGTGCGCCAGTACAGGAGACAGGAGTGTCAGACTCACCACAGTACCTGACCTGGCGGTTCCTTTCAAAATAAAAGTCCTACAGTATTTACAAAAACTTCACGACCTTGACTGACCTGTAGAGGAATGGTTTGCAGATTTTTTTTAACTGTGTCTAATGAAAATGAATGCACACTGAGGTCAAAACTAACAGAAAGGTTCCTTGCTTTGACAGAAGAGGTTAGCAACTTATTTCTGAAAAGGAGATTGTTTAAATATATTGTTGGAATTCATATTTGAATAAACCTTTGGATAACGTGCATTGCTGAATATGGCCTTTGTATTCTAATGCTATGCTGGTTAATAGAGTATGTTTTGTTATAATTAGCCAATAAAAAAGACAAACTGAATGATACCTCTTCAAAACAGTATGAACCTCGAGAAGATTCAATTTATTTAAATGACTAATAATGATAATAATAATAATAATAATAATAACAACAACCATTCATGCTCACATTCCCGCCTATGGCCAATTTAGAGTCAATATTGACCTAACCTGCATGTCTTTAGACTGTGGGAGGAAGCCTGAGTACCCTCAGAAAATCCACGCTGACACGGGGAGAACAAGCAGGCTCCACATAGAGGGGGTCCCCCACCCCGGTTTTTGAGCCCCCCAACCCTGGGTTCATACCAGGACCCCTTTTGCTGTGAGGCCACAATGCTAACCGCTGCACCATAATACTAATAATACTAATACTACTACTACTACTACTACTAATATACTACTAATGATGATAATGATGGTGATAATTATTATTATTATTGTTATTATTATTATTCAGTGGGCTATTTAGGATGTCTTATGAAAAAAAAAACCCTACATTTAAACAAGTTAACAGTTGACTAAACATTTTGGATACTTAGACTCAGTATTTTTTTGTATTTAAAAAAAATATATTTTTATGAATGTTATTATTAGATTAGATTTTTTTCTGTTACTACCTCTGTTCTAGATTCTGGACCCCTCTCTTTAAGCACCTGTGTCACACGTCGTGTGTCAATGTGAGTCGCACTTGCACAAAAAGGTCCGCCATCTTGAACAGCTACCTATGGTTACACTGCTTTGACAAACCACATGTCACGATCTGAGTTTCAACCATGGACGTGAGTTACGCAATTTTTCACAGCATGAGTTACTACAGAAAATTTTTTGGTTCATGTTCAAAAATTATAAGAGTAGTGTTAAAAATATAAAAATTTACAAACTTTAAGTATCTGCTTGAGCATTCATTCTGGAAAAACACTACCACAAATATACAGAATAGCCAATAAACACTAATGTGATAAAAAATCATGACTCATATCATGTACTGACAGCCTGGCCCACAATGGTTTTAAGTTGCAAATTGTTGTATTGTGGCTGGAGTGATCCCATCACAATATGGTCTCTTGTTTATATCACTTTTATTTGATTTATCTAAGCTTATCATGTTCATGAATCTGTGTATGTAAAATTACTATTTGTATTATTCATTTGGAGGAAGATGTGGAGTCGTAATTGAGAAACAGCTCGATTCAATTAATATTATTATTTGTTCTTGAAGTTGATTAATATTTATTTATTTGTTCATTAATTTATTCACATTTTATCATATTTTAATTGTTAACATATTGTTGTATATATTATTGTTATTTGTGATTGTATTATATTGTTACTTTTTTATTTGGGGGTTGCACTGGTGGAAGTCTCCTTTATGGTGTTAATTATTTTTTAATTTGATTTTTATTTGTTTATTCATATCTGTTTGTTTATTTATTTATTTATTTATACAGAATATAGAAAATATACAAAAGTGTTAGTCAATTACAATTACAAAGATGGTGCTCTTATTTTGAAATTACACTAAATTAATTTCCTGTAGTACTCCGGTGAGTTTGACTCAAACTCTTTATGGTAATGACAGGCCTGAACCCTTATCACATTTATTCTGTTTGTTATTGCTGGTTTACTTTACATTCATGCTGCAGGTTGTATCTTTCAAATAACAAGATCCTGTCTTTACTTTTTGTGAGGTTCAAGTATGAAAAGTTCTTACAATCTCTCCTCAAAATTCAAGTGTGCACTTTTCAAGTTAATAATCACTCACTGAACAAATAAAGCTCCTTCCATTACCAAATCACTAATGGGACAGGGGGGGGGGGAGGCCAACATTTCATTCATGCTGTTACATAAAGGCCAGCTAGACTTGTTTCCCAAATATAACCAAAGAACTCTGGTACTTTCTCACAGACATACACTCCTTCTATCCTAAATGTTTCCCCAAAGTTTCTCCCTGTGTTTGGTTGTGTGGGTGTGGGTGAGTATTTGATCCAGAGTGTGTGTTTTCCCTCAAACATCCCAGGAACAGACTCAGCATTTCCTTTTCTCCAGTCAGTTCCTCTGTCAGCTCAGAATCACAGCCGTGCAGTGTTGTTCTTTAACGGAGAAACACTCAGGAATTTATAACAGTGAGAATCACAAGATACGTGATGACTCAGCACTTAGTTATACACATTCTGCAAGTCTGGTGTCATATACTCATTTTATTACATTTTTACTCCACACACAGTAGCTGTCAGATGACCAGGTGGTGTAAAGTACAAGAGTCTTTAGACTTATAAGAGTGAGTGTGAAACCCTGAAAGCAGCTTCCAGAATTTGCTGGAATTTGTTGTTGGATGTTCCCCGTGCCGCTGGCTGCAACACAAACCCAAAGCATGATCAGTACACCCCCATGCTTAACAGCCTGACAGGTGTTCTTTTCATAAAATTCTGAATCCTTTTTTCTCCAAACACACCTTTGCTCATTGCATCAGAAAAAAAAAGTATTTTAACTTCAGCAGTCCACAGGACTTGTTTCCAAAAAGCATCAGGCTTGTACAGATGTTCCTTTGCAAACTTCTGATCCTGAACTTTGTGGCGAGGACACAGAAAAGGTTTTCTTCTGATGACTTTTCCATGAAGGTCATATTTGTGCAGGTGTCACTGCACAGTAGAACAGTGCACCACCACTCCTGAGTCTGATAAATCTTCCTGCAGGTCTTTTGCGGCCAAATGGGGTTTAATTTGCCTTTCTAACAATCCTATCAGCAGCTCTCTCAGAAAGTTTCCTTGGTCGTCCAGACCTCAACTTCACCTCCACAGGTCTTGTTAACTGTCATTTCTTGATTACATTATGAACTGAGGAAACTAGCTATCTGAAAACACTTTGCTATCTTCTTATAATCCTTCTCTGCTTTGTGGGCATCAGTTATTTTAGTTTCTGACTCTTTTGTTCAGACTTGGCAGGCACAATGTGCAGGTAGTGTAATGTGGGTTTATCAAAGTCTTCTCAATGCAAATAACTACCTGTTTGCATGTGCTGGCAAAAGGCTAAGATAAGAGTGGAGTTTGTGGGCAGTATAGTAAAGCCAGAGCAACAATCTAAAAGCGGCTAAAAAGCTCTTTAAAAGTGAAGTAAAGTTAAGAGTTGGTGATGATTGCCAATGGGCTTGTCACTATCAGCAACACCTGTCTCATGTTGTGTTCACAGCAAGCATCAATAAAACACCAAAACAAGTGAATTACATGTAAAGTCAGTGTAAAAATGTGATTAGACATGAAGCTGGGTGGTGCAATAGATGCAATGGACACAACACAAATGACGTGAAATATGCGAAGTAAGCAGCACGAATGATGCGAGAAGCGCGATTTTGCATCATAGGCTTGTTCATGAGAGTTGTACAAAAATAATCAAGTGTGTTTTTAAATTTAATTGAAACCAGAACCGTAACCCTTTACATAAGGGTTTATATTGTTAGTTGTGACTAATGGCTTCATTAATGCTTAATAGTAACCTACATGAGTTGCTTTATAGATTAGTTACGCCATTAAAAAGTAAACGTTTGGGGTGCCAAGTTGATTGGTCAGACAGTTTGAGGACAGCGATGACCGCACCTGCAACTGGAGTCCTGATCCGGCACTCCATACCAGTTGGGGGCGGTAATGCGCCATTACATTGTTTGCTAACTGCCATAATACGTCATGAAGAAGAACAAGACGAATAATCAAAAAGAAGAAGAAGAAGAAGGGAAAACCCAAACATACTTGAGAACTCTTGGAAACCAAAAGAAACCATAGCTTCGCTGAAACGAGCCTGTCTCCTGAACTTCACGGCGCGTTCATGGAGCCTCCCGGTTCAGCGAACCGAGCCGACGGTGATTTCCTGGAGCTGGAGCCCGACGAGGAGCTGCTCTGCTCGGTCAGCGACATCACCGAGCACCTCGGCAGAAACATCACCGTGGTGCTGGAGACAGCGCTTTCTGAGATCCGCAAAATGGTCAGCATCTGGATAAGAGTCCTGAAAATGGAGCTACGCGAGAAAAGCGAGGAAATAGAAGTGCTAAAGGCGAGACTAGAGACAGTTCAGAGGGATGGTAGGGACCCTTTCCCCGGCGTTCCCACCATGGAGCCGTCTGCAGATGCTGGCTTCAAGAAACATGACTTCAGCTCCGGCAACAAACACAATAGTATCGACCCCAGGAGAGCCAAGGCTGTCATGCCTGGTGTGAAGAAGGAGGTTATAGCGGAGGGTGAGTACCAGAGGGCCGTAAGTGACATTTTAGGCGAAGATGGCACAGAAGTCAAACTGACTGACACATGGGCAAATGCTAGAATGTACTGCCCTATCTGAGTGTTTCACCAAGCCGCGTCCTACTGTGATTTGACTGTGTTGTGATGGGCAAGGGAACCACACACAGGATACAGAGATATAGGGAACCACACACAGGTCACAGAGGATATAGGGAACCAGACACAGACCACAGATGATATAGGAAACCAGACACAGAGAATATAGGGAACCAGACACAGGACACAGAGAATGTAGGGAACCAGGCACAGGACACAGAGAATATAGGAAACCAGACACATGACACATAAATTAGGGAACCAGACACAGAGAATATTGGGAACCAGACACAGGACAGGGGGACACTTGGAACCACACAAAGGACACAGAGAATGCAAGGATCATTACACATGATACAGAGAAGAAAGGGAACCAGACACAGGACACAGAGCATGTAGGGAACCAGACAAATGACACAGAGAATAAAGGTAACCGAGGACACAGAGAATTTTTTTTTTAAATTTAATTTTAATTTTATATACTTTATTAATCCCCGAGGGGAAATTAAATTTTTCACTCTGTTGTCAATTACACACAGGTCCGAACACACACATGCACAAACAGGACCTATACATGCACTAAGTGGAGAGATGTCAGAGTGGGCTGCCCATGACTGGCGCTCTGAGCTGTTGGGGGTTTCGGTGCCTTGCTCAGGGGCACCTCGGCAGTGCCCAGGAGGTGAACTGGCACCTTTCCAGCTACCAGTCCACGCTCCATATTTTTGGTCCGGACGGGGACTTGAACAGGCGACCCTCCGGTTCCCAACCCAAGTCCCTATGGATTGAGCTACTGAGAATATAGGAAACCAGACACAGGATACAGAGCATATAGATCTAAAGGCACAAGGAAACTAATCAAGAACCCCCTTGAAGGTCAAGTTAATTTTATTTAATTTTACTTTCAGTACAGCGCCAGATGACAACAACAGAAGTCATTTAAGGTTACCTTTCCTACAGAACAGGTCTATACCTTGTCCTTTTATTAAACAAATTAAATAGCCTTATGTTATTTATCTTATGTACACGACGGCATGTCATTTCATTCCACATGGTCGCGCACAATTGCTCTCTGTGACGCGCACGGCGGAGTTCTACCCCGATGCGCACACACACACACACACACACACACACAGACATGGGCACGTGCACGCACACACAGGTGAGCACACTCCCCCCAGCTGACAGAGAGTGGGCGTTGGAAAATATGTCGCATCAAGTTGGTCAATCAAAGTAGGCTAGTATCTTTTTTCAAATCAATGTGAAACTTACATAACTTGTATGAAATGTACCTTTCTTGCTGTATATTATTATATTATTACTATATTTTACCAGTATTAATATAATTCATTGTTATTCAGTGAATTGATGATATTGATAGGTATTTTTTATATTATCACAATGGACTCTGTAGTTTATTTTCAACTTATTTGGGGAAATGGCTAAACAATTACTTATATAGTCCATAGGGATTTGGGTTGTGAAATGAAGGGTAGTTGGGTCAAGTCCCTATCCAAACTGCTAGCTGGAGAGGTGCCAGTTAACCTCCTGGGCACTGCCGAGATGCCCTTGAGCAAGGCGAGGCCAAGTGGTTATGGTTCATTTTTTAACAAATGTAAACGGTATAAGGATATTTTTTCTATTAAATCAAAGAATTACTTTTTCTTTGTAACTCATTAATGTAAAACATTTTCATATTTTGTTTATGAAAGGCGCAGGTGACTTTCTATATATAGGTTAACGTCATATTTCACTTTCACCCCTCTGGTTCTCACCCCTCTATAGATGCTGTTTGCCACTATCTAATGAAAGACAAGAACTCGAGGGGATATCCTGAAATGGACGGAGACCAGAGTAGCCAAGTCAGTGGCGGCAGGAAGCCTCGCCAAGATCAGGACCTGCACTCCCTCAGCCTGCAGCCAAACAGTGTCATGGCTGTAGACTCCAAGTCTACCACAGATGACCTCTTCAGTGTCCTCCCCTCTGGCAGCAAACGGATGTATGTCTATGAATTAGTAGTACCAGTGGAATATTCTTCAGACCTGAAAGGTAAACACACTCCTTGATATGCTAATAAGGAAAGAGTATCTGAGAGTATTGGAATAACATGAACAGTAAATTCCCACAGCACACCTGTCTTTTAGAGATAAAGTTTTATGTGATCATATTTTTCCCAGTCATGAAGGAGCCCGAGAGTAAGAGCACCCCAACTGGTGAGGATGGTGGTGAAGATGAGTTGCCGTGGAGGGAGGGAGGTGGACTGGAGCAGGCCCAGGCCCCACACGTCCAGCCCTCTGAGTTCTCCATGGAGCCCCAGAGTTCTCCAGGGGAGGGAGGGAGTCCACTGGAGGGCAGCACAGACAGGCCTGTGGCAGGTGGGTAAGACTGGGAAGAAAGGAAAGGAATGATGTGGAGTATTACAAGAACAAAACTGCAAGTGTAATAAATTTCAAAAATAGGTTGATAATTGTTTGTGTAAGCAGGAGCAGGACATGAGATGTCAGTGAAGCCAGTATTCCAGTCTTGTATCAGCTATAAGCTCAAATGCTGCACTGAGACTGTCCTCTCCTTTCACTGTTTTGAAACATACTTTTTTAACATACTTTTTTTATGGTTTAGATCTCAGCCAGTTAACATTTTGAAATCAGTATGTGTCTGCACTTTTTATACCTTTGCATCGGTGATAGCCATGGCCGGAGGCAGTACGTTTTTGGGATGCCCATCCATCCATTCCGTCCTTGTGAACACAATATCTCAAGAACACTTAAACGGAATTTCTTCAAATTTGGTACAAATGTTTACTTGCACTCATTAAAGAAGTAATTCGTTTTTGATGGTTATAGGTTTAGGGTCAAGGTCACTATGACCTTGTCTGTCTCATTCTCATGAACATGATATCTTAAGATTGCCTTGAGGGAATTTGGCACAAAGGTTTACTCTGATTCGACGGTAAACTGATTTGATTTTGGTGGTCAACGGTCAAAGGTCAAGGGCGCCATAACCTTGAATTGATATCATTCTTGTGTACGCGATATTTCAAGAACAGCTTGAGGTATTTCTTCAAATTTTACACAAACATTCACTTGGACTCAATGATGAACTGATGAGATTTTGGTGGTCAGAGTTCAAAGGTCAAGGTCTATGTGACCTCCTTTGTCTCATTCTTGTAAATGTGAAATCTCAAGAATACTGTGGGAATTTCTTCAAATTTAGCACAAATGTTCACTTGGATCCAGTGATGAACTGATTAGATTTTGGTGGTCATAGGTCAAGGTCACTGTGACCTTCTCTGTCTCCTTTTTGAGAATGCAATATCTCAAGAAGACTTTGTGGGAATTTCTTCAAATTTGGCACAAATGTCCACTTGGACTGAACAGTAAACTGATTAGAAGTTTGTGGTTGAAGATCAAAGATCAAGATCATTGCTAACTCAAAAAATATGTTTTTGGCCTAAACCCAAGTATTCAGATGCTATTTATGACAAAACTTCACACAAATGTCTAATAGGCTAAAATAATAAAGTGATTTCTTATCCAAAAGGTCAAAGGTCAACTTCACTGTGACATCATAATGTTCTGCATAAAACATTTTTCTGGACATTATTCAATGTCATAACTCAGGAACAGAAGTGGAGACATTTGGTCAGATACTGAATTGGTGAGACTAATCTTGGTCCTGATTGAATAGATTTTCTGTGCTGTTGGGGGGAAGATGTCTGTGAAGCATCCATGTTTTCACAGACATGGATGTAAACTATAAGAGAAACTTGACTGGTGCACTGAAGCATACAACCATGGGGCAGTAATTCTAGTTCACCATAAGGACTCTGTAAAGGGCTGAGATGCTTTGTGAATAACTTTCATCTTTTCCAGGATCTAGTCTTTACTTAAAGGGGAAATTCTTAAAAAAATGTCATAAGAAGTCATAGAAGCAACTCTTAGTACAAAGAAGCTTTGTGAATACAGCCCCAGGTCTCAACTTGTGTGCACAGATTTGTGTTTGTGTTGGCGTGGACTTGCGGTGCAGCACAGTAAATCTGACTGAGGTGAGGAATCTTTGTTTGACCATATTCTGACTAGCATTTTAGTATTTGCAGCCACATAATAATTACTTAAAATGTATAGTGGCCACATGGATGTGTGCTCTCTATCACAGCTGGCAGTTGCCTGGCTCTGTGGGGCTGGCACCAGTCTAAAAGATGGACACCATTTTTTCCTGGCTCTAATTTATCAGAAACTTTGATGGCAGCAGTGATTTCTTTCCATACTGCATTTTTCTGACTTCCTTTGATGCCACTTTTCAGGCTTCAAAATAAAACCAGTTGGTTAAATTGGACCTGGGACGTCACCATTTCCATTACTAGCTTAGAGAAGCTCCTCTTCTTGGCTGTGTTACACCTCTCCATGTCGTAAACTCTAAGAGTGAGGCCTCTAAACCAGTATTCATCAATGCCCAATCATTTCTACACTGTGATTGGCAAGATGAGAGCGTTTCATGAATCACACGTGAGCCTACTTGTTGGATGATTTCTGTGCTCAGATCTGTGCTGGTTTGTACATTAGACTACATTAGATTGATAAATGAGGGCTACTATCTGTATACACCTTCAATTATGGTAATTCTGTGATTAAGTGATGGCAATTCTGTGCACAAAAATCTAATTGTTTATGGCAAGAAATTCTGTAATTTTATGAGAGACAGTTCTGATGATAAATGTTCCAGTTTTAAAACACATCACAGAACTCTTTACTAGCACTTTATTTACACCTGTGTTTATTATTAGGAGTGACTGTTTAATTTTTTTTTAAATAAATAAATAGAATTAAAGAAATTAATGCTATATTTTGTGTCATTTTAATGTATGATAATCTGTGAGTCACGTGACTGACTGATCCTCAGACACCAGTCTGATAAAAGTGAGATAGCTGACAGTGTTGGTAGAATAAAGCATGGTGGACTGGAGAGCAGTTTGTCACAAGTTAGGCATTACTTGGCTATTATCAGCTGATAAAATAATGTTTTTGTTTTGTTTGTGGTTTCAGGCCAGCAGTTCCCTGTCCGCACCTATATCTGCTCTCTGTGTGGAACCTTCTGCCCTGACACTCTGTTCTTAGAGGAACACGTCAGAATGATACACCCTGACTCTGCTGGTGCCCCAGGACACATGGGAGAAGTTTTCCTTCAATCAAGCAAGTCTTCAGCCAATGACATTACGTTTTTAGTTTTGCCACATATGCCGCCCCAGACCAACCATGTCGACTGTGCTTCACTGGTACGTATTAAAGTTATTGACGTTATTATTAAAGTTATTAATCTTGTAATGTTTAAGTAAATGCAAAATAATTATTTGTTACTGTGTAGCTAAGCCACTTTATCCGTTATCACTTAAAAGAAACTTAAATCTAAGGATTACAGTTAACACGCTAACTAGCTCATGTTAGCTTTCCAGCTAACTAGCTATTTTTGCAGAAAATTCTAAGTTAAAATTAATGTTGGCCCCTTTAGTTGGAAAATTTCGACTAGTCTGCTGTAATGAAAGCGTTTAATCACCGGCAGCTAGTAAAGAGAGGCTAAATGCATTCGTCATTGGTAGTAAATATACCATTTTTTTTCTGTCAGAATGGCTATTGCATTTATCATTGGTAGTAAATAACATCTACTTTATTTTTGTGACAAAGAAAAAGAAATCTGTCATTTTATTATACTATTGTGGCAACTTCAAGGGCATCAAGCAGTATATATATATTTTTTTTTCATCCACTGGGCAGTTGCATGCCCTCGGGACTCCATAGACATGAATGGGGTTCTGACTTTATGAGGCCATGAAATGTTTGTGAACTCTTACACCAAAATTAGGTTTGTGTTGTAGCATTGTTTGAGGGTCAGAACCAGTATTAATTGTGGTGCAAGAGTTCATATAAACATTTTTTATGCCTCATAAAGTAAGTACCCCAATTATTGTCTATGGAGCAGCCCCAGTTTTTTCATCTTAGTTACAACATCTAGGAGAGAGAGGTGCATGTTCTCAAATACTTATTAAAATGGGTTACATCGCTCTTTAATACAGTTTAACACTTTTTCATTGCCTCTCTGTTGAGCCGTTTTTCCCACTGTTAGACTGACATACTGCCTCTCATTCCTTACAGAAAGGGCCAAGAGGAATAAAGCGAAAGAGGACCATTGGGCCTAATACTCAAGGGAATTCATGTAAGTCTTGCTGATAAACTGATATGCCTTGGGGAGATGTTAAATAAATGTTTCTCAAAATGTTGGAGTGTTCCTTTGGTATAATGTGGTTTGGCCATACAGATGTTTTTGTGGCTGAAGAATGAGTGTTCCTTGTAGAATTTTCATCAACATCAGCATCATTTTGACACTGACCTCCTCTGCAAAACCTAAACATTATTAAAAAAAAAATTAGGCCTATTTTTTAACAGCTTTAATCTCCTCTTCTGATGCCCACCAATGTATTTTTAATGTATGTGAAAGCACAGATAGGTGCCATTACAGTGACTTACCCCTGCCAGATTACTCCATCGAATGCCATACTAAAACTGGACAGGAAAATATTAAAGAAATTGCACCTTTCTGTACTTTGCTCTTAGAGAAATGATGTATTTTTGTGGTAAAACTTGTTTCATGATAGCTTTTAATAAATTATTTTAGGATGAATTTATGATTGGGGCTTGTTATTTTCAGTAGACCTACTGGAGCAAATTGCCTCCCCAAACACCAGCTCCGACTGCCACACTCCGACAGCAACTCCTGCCCCCTCCATACCAAAGATTTTTAAAGAAATTTGCAGCATACTCCATCTGTCATCGGGTGGGAAAAAGAAAAGGTATGATTTATTTAATAGTATTTTGATATTAAAGGCTAAGTTCAGAATTTTGGACTCAAGCACTATTTCCTACTTAGCAATGACATTGCCGATCAATTGAGTCCTTTCTACTGGATAGCTGCAGCTCCAGGTAGAAAGCCATAAAATTAATGCAAAGTCAGTTGGGCTCCAGTCTGTACAAATTAGAAATGTCATGTTTGGACACCCATTAAACAGTAACTAATTGGTGTATTTCTGAGAAAAAAAAACATAGTACCCACTGCCCAACCTCTAGTCTCAGTTGGTTTTCTAGTCTTGGCTACTCTGCACTGTGAACCACCTTGGTTAGGTCGGAGCTGGCTAGTGATGCCACTCATTCAGCCTTTACCACTGGTAATGCTGTCCCAGTGGCGGGAAGGTATTGATGCAGAAATAGGGTAGCCACCCTCTAGACTACCCCCAGGTATCCCCTGTCATTAAGCAGCTTCATTTTTGATTTTGCAAAACCACTTGTAGCATTGTTAACTATGTTAGCACAACTAGCCATGCTGACACTGCTATTGGTGCTAACAGAGCAGTAGTTAACGATGTTAAAGGGGTAATTACACTCAAAATTGAGCCACTTACTCACCAAGGTGACCTGGGATCGTAGGGCGGGCACAATGTTGTCATAGCAGTGCTGTGGGTTGGGACGTGGTAATTGTGAAATGAGACGCTCTGCTAGCTTGCTCCCACCAGACCTGGATGGTGTGCAGTGCAGTAAACTTAAGAATAGCAAAATTAACCTATAGACCAACATATGTAGCCAGTCCAAAATAGTCTCAGAGGTTAAACGATTAACTGCCAACTATTGACATTCCTAGTACAAACCCCACAGTACTGACAGTGCACCCAACGTAGGTTTCAGCATTTATTTTCAGACTGAAATGTGGTTCACTACCGGTGCCATTGTGATCATTGTAGACTAGTGTTCATGTTTCTTATTTGACATACTGCATTGTCTTTGCTGTGTTGTAATGTGATCATATGTGTCCACACAGAATTAAAGTCACAGTGGATGAACTGGGTCGCAGGGTAGGTCCTCCGGAATACATGTCATTTTCGTCCATAGCGACATACTTAAGGACAGATAATAACGCAAGGAAAGAACTGCAAGCCCAGCTGGAGGATGCTGGGATTAAGCCCACCCAGGTTACAGCCAAGGTGTCCCTGTTTTCTCGGCTTTGTGAAGGCAAGCTGTGTCATTTTGTCTTAAAATTTTCATAAATTACTAACACATACCTTACTGAGGCAACAACTTACTGTTTTTCTTTACTATTTTCTTTCATCAGAAGAGGTAGATGCATTATGTGAGAGCCTTGCTGGCCTGGTGAGAGACCATCTTCCCTTTGAAGGTCTCCATGTCATTCAAGAGGCTGACAACGAGATGGTGACTCTGGGGAGCTTGTTGGAGTTCCGGTATGTTTCAAACTTAGTATACATTATGTACACCTGCGAAAAAAATTTCTTTCACTATTCATGACTCACTATTTCTTTCGTAATATTGGCCAACATTACTGCCCTTCAGAGGATGTTGCATGGTCAGTTTTAAATTGGGGACCTTGAGTAATCCGCAGATTCTACATGCTAGCTTACTGGTGAAGAGGTTGACCTTTCACCTTAAGACATCTTAATGATATAGGGCTGAATGGGATCACATGAGCCTTACCTTAACAGCCATGTCCAATTTATGCTAGTTCCATGTATTTGAGGGTCAAAACCATGCAGCACAAATGCCATTTTCACCTGTTTAAAAGATGTTTTATTTTCCTATTTCTGCATACTGTGATTCATAAGTAGTCTTGGAATTGTATAAATTGGATCAAACTTTACTTTAAGTTTCCTTCAAGGTGTCTTAATGTGGTATTTGTAGGGATTTTTGTCAATTTCTTTACATTTCTCAATGGTCAAAAATGGTTTAGTTTTGCATTAGATTAGTTTAACTCGTGGTCCAAATTCAAACCTTGCTGCAGCAATCCATTACAAAAATTGAGCTTGGGAAGGTGCCCAATCAAAACACAGTGTTTGTTACAGAGTTATGATTTAGTAAAAAATCACACAGTGCTATTCATCTAAAATTAATCTTCAGTTTCCCAGCTTCCAGTTATGGAACACTTCTATGCGGCACAGACTGTTGACCTTGTATCTCCCCATAAAGATCCCCTGCCCCGCCTAAACAGACAGACATGGGTCTATGGTGGGTTTCATGGGGTTAATAATTGCACATTCCTGTTATGATGCCAGGGCATTCCGTCTGAGATGAGTGTTTGACCTCTTGCCATGACAAATATATATCTATATCTATATCTCTATCTCTCTCTCTCTCTCTCTATCTCTCTCTCTCTCTCTGTCCCATTGTG